GCGCGACCGCCACCGATCCCATGAGGTCCCATCATCCGTGGTACGCGCCCGCTCCGCCGGCCACTAACGATCCCCGCTTCGCCAGTGAGTATTTTTTCTCCTTCTCCTTTCCGTTTTTGTCTCTTTCTTCTTCTTCTTCTTCTTCTTCGTCGAAATCAATTGCGATAGGCCGCGTTTTCAATTGCATTGAGTTTTAATTTTGATCGTTTCGGATGGAAACGAGTTTGCATATATCGATTAGATTGACATTCGATTAGGCGATTTATCTAGATGTTAAGTGGAAAGGAAAAAAAATTCATTCGTGTTGTATTTTTCTTCTGGAGTTTCGGATATGAAACGCGTCGAAACATCGATCAAAAACCGCAATTTATTTCCGGTCAATTTAATAATCCTTTGTACGTGTAATCTTTCTTAATCTTTTATAGCCTTTTTTAAAGAGCTTCATAATCTTTATAGCTTCTTTTACGATCAGTTTGGAAGTAGTTTGAATTTAGTTTGTTTTTATGGAGAATGTTAAGTGAAAATTAAATTGTCTGAAATAAATTTTTTAAGTTCTTTTAAAAAATTTTAGAAAAGCAAAAAGAATTGTAGAAAGTATAAAAAGTAAACGTAGCTCGTTTTTCAAGAAAAGAAAAACGGTGGCATATGGGTTGCACACCGATCATCCTTTTCGCCATCGACGAGGCACGTCTGTCCCGCTTTTATTAGCCTCGTGTCTACTTTTGTTATTACTAGCTCGCACTTACGTCCATTTAGCCATCGATGAGGTATCGGATTCGTATTTCAAAGTACACAACAGCCTGTTCTTCCATCGCGTCGCTTCGTAACACACGGACTCATGAATTCTTCCGTCGCGTATTCTTCAATGTATCTACACGATTGTAAATTTGATCGAATACCGAAATTAAAAAATTGTTACATAGATAACAATATATAATAATTACTAGTGACCAAATAAACTTTTCGTCTTTAAATCTTTCTAAAAGTTGGATACCAAATTGGTTAGATGCTTAATAGAGATATCTAGAAGAATTTTTATAATAATAAAAGTTGATCATTTTTATTACGACGATTATATATATTTGATGACTTGTGAAAAAAGTGTTCTTCTTGTTCCAAATTTATTCCCTCTTTTCATTCTTTCGATAATCTTTGAAAAATAAGTTTCAAAGACAGATTACTTGCACGCAGTTTGCTTAGATCATGTTTTAACTTTCCACTATTCTAAACATTCATTTACTGGATAAATCGAATCTGCATAGAACGACAGGCGCACTCGTAGATAGTCCTCGAGGCTTCTCGCGTTTCAGAGGCCGGTGAAGAAGATTGTCGGCTAACAAAGCTCGTGTCCTTCGGACTTGTGTCAACATACGCTCGTCTCCTTGGATTTCTGTCGGCCGCACGCGCCACTCTGCTAGCCGCTAGAGAACGTATCGATCCTTGGCCCCCCGAAACGCGTGGCTACCGGACACTACCGGAGATTTTAGTTAAACAAATAAGCTTGAACGACCCTCGTCGCGCGAGGGTATCTTAACTCAACGTGCAGAACGTTTTCAAATTCAATTTTTCCCAATTTTTATCCAGAGAATCTGTAAAGAAGAAGATTTAGAATGAGAATGGATTCGAAAAAATAACATAGAATAGGATTTATTTATGAATTACTTTTGAAATTTAATTCTTTGATATCATGTTTGGTGATAGAATCTGCCATCAGACTTTGTCACTGATAACCAAGAAACAAAATAGGGTAGTTAAAGTTTATTGTCCATTCTCAGAACAAAAAATAATAGATAATAGATTGCTATTATAAATTTCTTGTAAGATTTTTCCTTGTGATCAAGAATTGTTAAAAGAAGCATGGACTTCTTCGCATCAACATTTTTATTTTACTCCTTGTCATTAAGCAAGTATGCAAGCTTTGTCTATCTTTGAATCATCTTTGAGATTAAATCTTGTTTATCCTCTGAACAAGTGAACACAAGTAAAGCATAATCAATATAATCAAATCCATTATCTTTAAAAATGCTGTTGTTTCAGATACATCCTATTCGTTTTAAATTTGTTATTGATTTATTTAAACTTGTTAACAATGGAGAATAGGATTTTTGTTTGTCTATCATCTGTCCATGATACCACATAATTATCCAGTCGATTGATGCGTAGAAAACCGGTCGTTCACGATTCTTTCTAATATGAAATTCGATTTTTAGTATCTACTTCAGGTATATAAAACGTCAATTTGCTTAATGATATTCTCACGGAGTGAGTTACGGATCTAACTCCATTCGTTCGCCAGAAGTTTCATTGAAACGTTGATCCAGTCATTCTTCGTCGAGTTTCTATTGTCCTGGCTCTGCCTCGACCTCTCACTGATGATAGTCTCGTAACTTTATCGAGATATATTGTTTCGTACATTACTAGAAACTTAACAATGTCCCATTGTGATGTTTGTACTTTAATATCTCTCATTTTGAAGAATCTGCTATTGATAATACTCGCAATCATTTTCGCCATTTTCTTTCCACTCTTCTGAATTTCTAATTTCGAAATCAAGAAAATTTTACACTCTCGTCCAAATCTACGAAATTTTCTCAAGTCTCGGTACATAAACCTGAAAAAAGAAATTTAGATACAACTTGCACTAAGCAACATGTTATAATACACGTAACAACTTTCTCGTGTTTTAATAATTATCTCTAAAAATTTCAATTGTTCCTGAAATGTGAATTTCGATTTTTCCAGAAGAAAGTGCTAAACAAATTCGTTTTGATATGTCTCAAGTGGTATTTCTTTCTCTTCACTGTCCGACAGGATGAGAATACGTTCTCACAGACATAATAATAATTCGGGACTTCATCGTCGGACCTCCCGTGCTCGATGACGTAGCACTTTGCCGGGATAAATCGCTGCTTTTGTCCCGATCGGACGTGTCCGTTCTTGACAGCCCTTCGCCAACTGACAAGGGATGGACTGCTCGTTGGGTTTCAGTAGCTCGAATTC